AATAATACTAATACTTGTCTCAAGGTATTGTACCCATTAAAAACATGTTCTAATAAAATACATTTAAACTAAAGTTAGGGATTAGGAACCGGAAACATTCCTCCCATAGGGGATGGGGGGGGTTGCACATAACCCACCCTTGCCAACTGCCCATTAACACCAGTGCTTAAAGAAGTGCATGTATTTTGAGTACCTCTCTGAACTGCCCTCCTCTTGCTGAAAGGCATGTGGACTGATACATTATGATAGCGAGTAACCCTCTTGTCATGGAGATTCCAACCTGCATATCTGCTGTACAAGGTAAGCTGGTAGGGGCTATTTATTTCTAGAAAAATAATAAATAAAAATAAACCCTCAATTGCACATTTGTGTTAACATATGATGGTGCACAACCAAAATCTGTACATATGTAAATGTGTACTGTATGTGCAAAATAAATGTGTCTGGTAAAAATGAAGCAATTGGAACATCTGCCGTATCATAAATAAGACAAATGTTATAACATCCACTCCCCCCCCAAATACACATTCAGTGAATGTTGATAAATGTTATCTCAACAGCAGAGTAAGCAGGTGATGGGTGATAGTGTTTAACACAAAAAGGAAAATAGGGCCCAACAAAAAAAAAAAAGCAGTAAATATCCTTATGCATACAGTGTAGGCAAATTTTTAAAGAGGAAGTAAACAAAAAATGTTAACCCCTTGACGCCGAGCGCATGCAAATATGCAGCCTCTCGGCGTCTGGGCCTTGACACCGAGCGGCCGCATATGAGACAAAGATACATAATTTTAGAACTTTTTTCACCTTTAATGTGACCTATGAATTGTACAACTCAAATGAAAAACAAGCTGAAATCTTTTGGGGGGGGGGGGGTGACTAAACATAAAAAAAACTAAAATTATGTGGTTGCATAAGTGTGCACATCCTCTTATAACTGGGGATGTAGCTGTGTTCCGAATTAAGCAATCACATTCAAAATCATGTTAAATATGAGTCAGTACACACCAACCATCATTTAAAGTGCCTCTGATTAACCCCAAATAAAGTTCATCTGTTCTAGTAGGTCTTTCCTGACATTTCCTTAGTCGCATTGTACAGCAAAAGCCATGGTCTGCAGAGAGCTTCCAAAGCATCAGAGGGATCTCATTGTTAATAGGTAGCAGTCAAGAGAAGGATACAAAAGAATTGCCAAGATATTAGATATACCATAGAACACAGTGAAGTCAGTCATCATCAAGTGGAGAAAATATGGTGCAACAGTGACATTATCAAGAACTGGACGTTCCTCCAAAATTGATGAAAAGACAAGAAGAAAACTGGTCTGGGAGGCTGCCAAGAGGCCTACAGCAACATTAAAGGAGCTGCAGGAATATCTGACAAGTACTGGCTGTGTGGTACATGTGACAACACTCTCCCGTATTCTTCATATGTCTGGGGAAAGTGGCAAGACGGAAGACTTTTCTTATGAAGAAAAGCCTCCAAGCCCAGCTAAATTTTGCAAAAACACATCTGAAGTCTCCCAAAAACATATGGAAAATGTGGTATGGTCTGATGAAACCAAGGTTGAACTTTTTGTCCATAATTCCAAAAGATATGTTTGACTCAAAAACAACACTGCACATCACCAAAAAACACCATACCCACAGGGAAGCATGGTGGTGGCAGCATTATGCTTTGGGGCTGTTTTTCTTCAGCTGGAACTGTGGCCTTAGTCACGGTAGAGGGAACTATGAACAGTTCCAAATACCAGTCAATATTGGCACAAAACCTTCAGGCTTCTGCTAGAAAGCTGAACATGAGGAGGAACTTAATCTTTCAGCATGACAACGACCCAAAGCATACATCCAAATCAACAAAGGAATGGCTTCACCAGAAGAAGATTAAAGTTTTAGAATGGACCAGTATTAGTTTAAGGGTGTGCACACTTATGCAACCATATTATTTTCGTTTTTTATTTTTGCTTCCTACCACCTAAAAGATTTCAGTTTGTTGTTCAACTTGTACAGTTTATAGGTTACATTAAAGGTGTAAAAAGCCCTGAAATTATTTATCTTTGTCTCATTTACATTACAGAAACCTGACATTTTAACAGGGGTGTGTAGACTTTTTATATCTACTGTATATGGGGCTTTGGAGTCAATTCACTAAATGTTACTGTGTGCAATATGAAGGTCATGTTACTCATTTTTCAGAAATATTGCATGAAATAATATGAGTCAATTCATCAAAGTAAAATATCGAATGTGAGGTAGCAGTTCTTAAAATAGTGAGATAAATACCCGCAAAAAAAATTAGATAAATCCTTAAGTCAATTCATTAAAAAACACATATTCGTTATTTATCACCTGGTGTTTGCTGGAGGTATTTTAGAAATGTACAAAATAACAATAGAGGAACTCTGCACTGGCCTGAAAGTGAAAAGTATACAATGTATCAATGTGAAAATGTTCTCCTCTCAAAGGAGATTTTTGTTGAAGAAAGCACACTAGAATGTTTTTGTAGTTTCACATAATTGCTGTGCGCTTTCTGGTGCAGTGTTAGCCTGAAAAAAAAGAGTTGTGAAAAAATAACACCAAAAATAACGCAAAATTTAAGTACTAAATAATGCAAAACATAAATATTTAACGCATTCAGTAAATGTTTTTTAGTGAATTTACATTTGAAATAAATACAAGTTATTTTAACTCAAAAATCCATGCGGTAGTTACCTCTTAGTGAAAGGACCCCAATGTCTCCTGAATGTTAAAATAAAATAAGAGTTGGTATAGTGCTCACTGATGTTTTTATATAAATAAATGAAAAAATAAAAAGCCACTCATATGCAAAATTCTAAACCATAAGCATGTATCACTTTAAATCCAGCTGCAGTGTTTATAATGAGGCGGATGGCAGTAGATTGTAAAAGCTGCCTGTCCATCTCCTCCAAGCCGTCAACTCACCCTCTTGCTTAGCTACGTGAAAACCACGCCCAGGCTATGCCATGTGTTCTACTGGGGATATATCCCACGACTTCCTGTCCCATAGCCAAAACAGGAAGTTAGAGGAAATTTCTCCAGTCAGGGAATCTCTGGGGTGTCACCAGGGTCCCCATTGGAAGATCTCCACTCTATTAACCGCTTGCAGATTGCCCCACTTAGAGTTGATTCACACATGTGCGGTGCGGATTGAAGCTCAGGTTTCATAGCTAATTGATACAGTAGTTGTTCAGCGGTTCACGTCAGGTTTACATCAGGTTCAGGAAAGGTTTAACTCTCACGATTATCCTGTTCACACATATGCAGTTTAGAGACGGTTCCCATAGAAGTCAATATCCTGTAATCCGCACCTGAACCGGACTACACTGCTCAGAAATAATACAGGACTCTTTTTCAAACTGCACTGTATTCGTCAGTGCACCGGACATATATGAACAGGCACCATAGGAAGCAATATTTTTTCACATGTAATGCAGATTGGACACGGTTCAAACCGCATTCAATCTGCATATATGTGAACTGGCACTTACATCTATGGCTGCAGGGCAGCTGGTCTGAACTGAATCACATACCTAGTACGTGATCTCCTTTTCCGAGTTGGGGGTGCGCGTGCGCCCCAACTTCCCCAGCTGTGCTGTGATTTGGGACAACACAAGCCGATCAGCGGATCCCAGCCAATGACTTATGGCTGGGACCTGCTGATCGGCTCAGTGAATCACAAAACAGAGCCCAGTGTTGTTTATCAACACTGAGAAATGATCTTGCTGTTTTGTTTTTTTTTTCCTGCAAAGCAGGAAAATAAACACAAATTGCTTGGTAAAAGCAGCACACAGTAGACACATTACACATTGTCATGCACACAGAGGATAACCCCTTCCCAGCCAGTGTCATTAGTACAGTGTTAATGTATAGTATTAGCACTGATCACTGTATTAGTGTCACTATTGGTGTCAGTGTCAGTTAGTGCACCCCCCAGCCAGCATCAGCTAGCGTCAGATTGCCTGCCACACTTTCACAGTCCCACAATAAGTCACTGATCGCTACCATTACTAGTATAAAAAAAAATTCCAGTATCTATATGCTAGTTTGTAGACGCTATAACTTTCACACAAACCAATCAATATACGCTTTTTGGGATTTTTCTTTACCAAAGACATGTAGCAGAATACATTTTAGCCTAAACTTATGAAGAAATTAGATTTTTTTTAATTTTATGAGATATGTTTTATAGCAAAAAGGTTTTTTTTTTCAAAACTTTTGGGCTTTTTTCATTTATATAATACAAATAAAAATCCAAGTGGTGATCAATTACCACCAAAAGAAAGGTATGTTTGTGTGAAAAAAATGATATAAATTTAGTTTGCCTATAGTGTTGCATGACCGTGCAATTGTCAGGTAAAGTAGTGCAGTGCCAAATAGCAAAAAAAAAAAAAAGGTCTGGTTATGAAGGGGGTAAAATCTTTTAGAGGGTAAGTGGTTAATGTTCTAAGGACAACCCAAAATCAGGGAATTTCTTTCACTTTTGATGATAATAGTAAACAGAATAGAGAGGGTGAATCTCCCTAACATGGGCACAGACTGCAATAATAACTTGACAAGGGATCCAATCTTTCTCCAATAAAAACAACTTATGCCTTTTCAGTTCTATTTTAAGTTCTCCAAAGACTAATAATGATGAATGTTGGCATTGAGTGGCCAGTAGACAAGCTAAAGGATGAATTGCTAATCACATCCAGAGACATCCCAGTTCTGGGCTTCTGACTACTGTTACATAACTGAGCCGTAATCACACGGCAACTCAGCTGTGTGACTGCGCATGTGCGCTCCCTCCACCTGTGTGGAAGTCGCGTCGCCCAGTGCATTGTGGGACGTTCGGAGCATGCTCGCTGGACGTGTCCTGTTGCATTGTGGGTGCTAGGTACAGTGGCGCAGGACTGGAGGGTCGGCCATCTTGTCTCCGTCCCTTAGTTTCTACCACCAGGCCGCCGCTCCTTGCCGACTGTGTGGCCCCGGCAGTGCTGAGCCATGGGCCGCTCCCGAAGTCGGAGCTCTTCCCGCTCCAAGCACGCCAAGAGTAGCAAACACAACAAGAAGCGGAGCCGGTCCCGGGAGAAGGAGCGAGTGAGGAAGCGCTCAAAGTCCCGGGAGAGTAAGAGGAACAGGCGGCGGGAATCTCGCTCCAGGTCTCGCTCCAACACGGCTTCCAGGAGGGAGCGGGAGAGACCCGCTACTCCGCCGGACCGCATCGATATTTTCGGGCGGACGGTCAGCAAGAGGAGCAGCGTGGATGAGAAGCAGAAGAGGGAGGATGAGGAGAAGAAGATGGAGAAGATGGAGTATGAACGCCAGAGGCGGATGTGAGTGCTAGGCCGCAACGGGGATCACACACACCAGAGGGCCTCCTTTACATGGAAAGGTCTCATCTAGAAGGTTCCCATATCAACCCCGACCAATCCAGGAACTGTGCCCACAATATCTGGAGGGGGATCCCTGGGAAGATAGGACTAAGGCCACAACAGGGATCACACATGACTGGGCCTCCTATACATGGGGGAAGGATGATCTGACTTAGGATCCCTTATCAACCCTTACCAATCCAGGAACTGTGCCCACAATATCTGGAGGGGGATCCCTGGGAAGAAAGGACTAAGGCCACAACAGGGATCACACATGACTGGTCCTCCTATACATGTGGAAGGATGTTCTGACTTAGGTTCCCCTATCAACCCTGACCTATCCAGGAACTGTACGCCTTAATATCTGGAGGGGGATCCCTGGGAAGATAGGACTAGGCCACAACAGGGATCACACATGACTGGTCCTTCTATACATGGGGGAAGGATGATCTGACTTAGGATCCCTTATCAACCCTGACCAATCCAGGAACTGTGCCCCTTAATATCTGGAGGGGGATCCCTGGGAAGATAGGACTAAGGCCACAACAGGGATCACACATGACTGGGCCTCCTACACATGGGGGAAGGATGTTCTGACTTAGGTTCCCCTATCAACCCCGACCAATCCAGGAACTGTGCCCACAATATCTGGAGGGGGATCCCTGTGAAGGTAGGAGTAGGCCACAGCAGGGACTATACATGACTGTGCCCTCTATACATGCAAGAATGATCTGACATAGAAGGTTCCAAAATCAATCCCAACCAATACAGAAACTGTGCTCCAACAGCTGGAGGGTGTGAGGTCCTGGGTAGATAGGACTAGGCTGCTGCAGGGATGTCAGTAGTGTGAAGCCAATAGCAGATAACATATTAGTGGGCTTCTGATATATACATTTGGGAAGGATGATGTGATATGGAAGCTTCTGGTAACAAGCTGGACAAGTACACAACCTGTGGCCCAAACCACCTGGAGGGGGATCTATGAGAAGAAAGGATTATGCTGCAGCAGTGATCACATATGAGTGGGTCCCCTATTCAGGAGGAAGATGCAGTGATATAAAAGGTTCCCATAACAAACGGCACTGATACAGGAGCTGTGCCCCATAACAACTGAAGGGGGGGTCCCTGGGCAGATGGGACTAGGCCGCAGCAGGGATCACACAGTGGCCCCCTATACATGGAAAAGGATGATGTGATATATAGGCTCCCATAACAACCCCAACCAATACAGGAACTGTTTCTGATAACTGGAGAGTGAGAAGATAGGACTAGGCTACAGCAGGAATCACACATGAGTTGGCTCCCCCTATACATGGGAAAGATGCTCTGATCTATAAGTTCGCATAACAACCTGGGTCAATCCTGGAACTGTGCCCCATAACAGTTACAGGTTGGGATTCCTGGCCAGATGGGAGTAGGCCACAGTAGGGATGTTAGTAGTGTGTAACCAATAGCAGATCATGATGAGTGGGACTCCTAGACATACTTTGGGAAAGATGATTTGATATAGAAAGTTCTAATAACCTGGACCAATACAGGAACTGTGCCCTGCTACAGCTGGAGGGAGGGATCCCTGGGCAGGTTGGACTAGGAGGCAGCAGGAATCGCTCATGAATTGCCCCTATAAATGTTCTATTTATTCCCATAATAACCTGGAACAAAACAGGAATAGTGCCCCATTACAGCTGGAGAGTGGAAATTCTGGGTAGACACATCATGGATGTCAATAGCAGATTGCAGATGAGTGGGCCTCCTAAACATACATGGGGAAGGATGATCTGATATAGACGGTTCTCGTAACAACTTGGACCAGTACAGGAACTGTGCCCTACTGTCAATAGAGGGCAACCAGTGTATTTTTACCAAAGATGTGTGGGCCTATTAGATATGTGGGGAAAACTGCTCTACACATAGAAGGTTCTCATAACAATAAAAGTGTTAGAGCTGGACCAATACAGTGTGCCCATTACAGCTAGAGGGTGGGAATGCCCAGGAAGATTGGACTAGGCCTCAACAAGGATTGTCAGTAGTTGCCAGCTGATAGATCATAGATGACAGTGGGCCTCCTAGACATGCATGGGGAAGGATGCTTTGATACAGACTGTCCTTATAACAGCCTGGATCAATACAGAAACTGTGCTCCATTACAGCTGGAGGTGGAATCCCTGGGCAGATGGGACTAAGCTGCAGCAGGGATGTCAGTAGTCTGAAACCAATAGCAGATCACATATAATTTGGACTCTTACCCTAAGTTCACTTCTGTGCCGCTGCGGATCCGTACAGAAATCTGTGCAGCCGCACCTCCCGCACAGAGAAATGCAGACCCGCGGGCTGGTGCCAATAGTTCTAATGGGACGCTGCCTGCACTGGAAAACGCAGCTGTACTGGGAACTGAGGTTTCCGTGCAGGCTGCGTTTTTGGAAGAAGTGCAGGGATTTTTTTTCTCTGTGTGTCACTGGCACGGGAGTCCATTCAAATGAATGGGCTCTCGTACCCGTGCAAAACATGGCCCGCACGGTCGCATAGATGTGAACCAGGGGTTAGGTCTCATGTACACTGCAGCTGCTAAACTAATGTTTAGGGCAGTTGGGCATTTTTTTTTCTCAAGCCCCCTGAACTCTTGGTTTTCCTGTGTGTCCATATACACACAGCTGTTTAGAGGCATTTACACGCAGCTGAGTATACTGGCATTTCTCTGAAAGCACAAAAACTGTGTTCAGGACAAGAGTTTACTGGCATTTAAAACAACAAATGCTCATAAAGTTGTCTAAGCTCCCCTAAATGCAAGGTGAATTTAGCACTTCAGCATTTATTCATTTCAATGCCCAGAATAAATTAAAATGAAACAATCACCCAAACACTGCTAAACTGTTAGACTGGTTTAAAAAAAAATGCAGCTTAGAAAAGTTTTAAACGCTGACTTCTCCTGTCAGGAGAAACAGCATTTACAATAAAGCTGTGTACATGAGGCCTACATAGAGAAGGATGCTTTGATGTAGAAGGCTCTCATTGCAGTTATTTAAACTTCTGGAGCCGGACCAGTACAGTGCTCCATTACAACCGGGGTGGAAAGCCTCAGCAAGATCAGACTAGCCTGGAGCAGGGACTTTCCCCCCCCCCCCCCCCCCCCCCACAGCTTATGCTGTTATTGGGTATTTTGACATGTACTTCATTGAATTAGGTAAGGTGTCATGATCACCTAAAAGTACTTGTACTGAGAGAAACCGAGATCTAGAGATTGTTGCATGCGATTTGTGTTTTTTCTTGGAAACATCAAACGTAATAATAAAAAGTCAACTCATCAAATAAAATATCCAATTGAGGTAAATTTGTGAGGTAAATACTGCAATACTGCAAAAAGAGAGAAATCCTTAGTCAATTTAATAAAAAAAAATCTATTCATCTCATGGTACAGGCAGTTCATATTTTAGGAACGTACAAAGTAACAATGAAGGGAGCTCTGCACTAGCCAGAAAGTTACAAGTATACAATGTATCATTGTGGCAATGTTCTGCCCTGAGCTCAGGAATGTAAATAAATTCTAACATTTCACCAGGAGATTGTTCTGTGAATGAACGCAGTGTTAGCCTGTGACAAAGTGTGATACACAGCAAAAACAACTAGGTGTAAGTTATTATTATTATACAGGATTCATATAGTGCCAACAGTTTGCTCAGCGCTTTACAATATAACGGGAGACAATACAGTTCAATACAAGAGGGATAGGAGGGCCCTACTGTGGGGGATGGACTGGTTATAAGTGCTAAATATTGCAAAACATTAATTTTTTTTTTTTTTTTTTTTTTTACTGCTTTAACTATTGCAAGAAATACCACAAGTTATTTTAAGGCAAAAATGTATGCGGTATTTATCTCTTAGTGAGTCGACCCCACAGATAGCATTTTCAATAGGAGTTTAACAATTGCAAACTGTATGGCTTGCCTTGAGGGGCAGGGATGTGCAAATCATATATCCTCACACCTGGGACATGCAATTACGGCATTAGGCAGGTGGGTTTTTTACATTTAGCCCTGCTGCGGGCAAATGTTTACTTTGTGGTGTGTTTTTTTTTTTTTTTTTTTTTTTTTTTTTTCCATGTCAGTTTTCAGTGTGATTGTCATAGGTGTTCTGCAGTTCAAGTGCAATGTAAATCTGTCTTCTAGCTACTTCTATGCAAAACTGCCTTCCAGACACTTTTATGTGAACAGTTATCTCAGAATGCCACTATACTGTATGCTGTGTGAGTTTGGATTGCAGGTTCTGGTTGTTTTCACTGGCACCTAAAACACAGTGTGGATTTACCACGTGATTTATCATGTGGCAGTCGTGGCAAACTACACAGCGTGAAGTTTGTTGCCCAAAAAGGAGCAGGAGCTTTTTTTTGGAAGCCAAGCTTTATAAGATGCAATAAATCGTGCAACAATCGCGGCAAAACTGGACTGCGTTTTAGGTGCCATTGAATAAAATGGCACTTGAACCTGCACTTTGCAATTGTAGTGCATTTTCCAGATGTGAATGGAGCCTCACGGACGGACACTGGAGCTTGATCTGGCTGCTCAGCATGCGCTTTGGACAGAGTACCCAAGTGCTTCCGTTTGCAAGAGTAACCTGAAGGAATTTTATTTTCCTCATTGGGGCCAGCGCCTCATTTACTCGCTTAACAGATGCGCTTCTGCTGAGCGTTGAGAGTCAACGCTCCCCTTTACCCCACACTGCAAGGTCTCTCCATTTTCTGCTATTTACGGGGGTTTGGTGCCGGGGACAGACAGGGAGGTGAGCAGAAGATAAACAGCGCAATTTTACAAGTAGTTTTTTTTTTTTTTTTTTTTTTAAATTTCCACACTCCTGAGGTGCACTTTGAGTCAGTTACTTGGTACAAAAGTGCTAGTTAGGTCAGAGGAAAGTCAGTCCTAATATGCGTTGTTCCTTGTCAGTGATTCTGAAACTAATAGAGCATTTGT